GCCTGCCCGCGGACCTAGCGCTCGCTGCTTTCCGGCGCTGGATTGACTCGCTTTACAATTTTCCCACCCCCGCCCCTGGGTGTGTTTTTTTTGGAGGGGGGGGTTCACCCTCCCCACCGCGACCCTCTTTCCCCTCGTGGTCGCCAAGCCTGACCTTGCCCGCGTGGTCATGGGCTGTCTGATTTCATTTGTATCTAGGCTGCTGAGAGCGCTCCTTGCTCTGTAAAGTGGATGTCAGGTGGATCTATGTTTTTGAAGGAACAAAGACTCAGCGAAGGCAACGCCGAGGAAGTTTGAGACGCGGGAGGATGCGGGCTGCGTGCTGGTACGTGCTTCTCCTCCTGCAGTCCGCCGTCTACTCGGTAAGTCCCGCGGAGCCCGCGCCCGCAGCCCCACCCCGGCGGCGAGGCCAGGACCCTGCGCGCGCGGAGGGCGAGGCCGGCGACTGTGTTGGAGCAACTTTGGCAAGCTGGTCTCTGGATCCCCGCGGGATTTTCCGGGATCCCATCCCCATTTCCTGCCCCAGTGCCCCCTCTCCTGCGTGTGATTCTGAACTGCGCCTAGGGCACGCGAGACACCCAGAGATCGAGGAGCCAGTAGGACGGGGTGCTTTGTGACCGGAGAGGGCAAGGAGAAGGGGCGGGAGACATGAACTCTTAGGAATTCATCCCCAGAGTTTAAACGAAGGGAAACAGAGGCGGAGAGTGGGGAGCACGAATCTGCTCTGTGACTTTGAAAGTGAATCTGCCCCCTTGCCCCCCTCCGGCTTGGAGACGTGCACATGAAGTGCGGGTAACTTTGCTCGACTTGTAGGGTTGAGACGGGACACGTTGAACTATCAGGAGCATCACAAGCGATCAGATAGAGTTGGGTGGGAGATGCTCGGGCAAACATAAGCGGCTCCCTCTCCCTCTTTTTCCTCTCTCCCCTTTTCCCCAAATGACCAAACCCGAACCCCAGTTCCACCGCCGAGACCTTTACTAGGGAACTGCAGACGTTGTCATGGGCAGAATTCTAGGCAAAGCCCTCATCCCAGTGCTCCCAGAGCCGTTTGGGGGTCTGGACCTGGCACACTGTTGTCCCTGGGGGAGGGAGGAGAGGCGAGAAGGCTTTACTGTGGTGGCGGTGGATGGGTAGCTGCGGGCACCGCGCAGAACTGAGCCGCGGCGTGCAATTTCTCCGGTCTCGCTTCAGGGAGGGCCAGGCGCACTCACGCCCTGCTGAAGTTGTGCTCAGTGCACCGACCCCCACTTGCCCGTGTGCGCCCCTCCAGAGCGTGCTGAGGGCTCAGTGTGCTCTGATTAGGGGTAAGGGGCGGTGTGGGATCTCTGATGGAGCTGGATAAATGGGATGGGGGGATGCTGTTCCATAATCCCAAGAGCTCCAGACCCCACAAGTCTGGGAACCAAAGTGTTGCCATCCTTGCAACTGAGAACGTTTTCCAGCTGTTGCCCTGGTGCCTGTGACAGCAGGGCTGCTAGTTGTGTGAACTGTGTGAGTGTGTAAGTGTACGTGTGTGTGACTATGTATGTGAGGGGTGCGTATTTAACGGGTGTCAGCTTCAATCCAAGAGCCCTCGATGTTGCCTGTCTTTCTCCTGGCCGTGCCAGCCGCGGACGCCAGGGGGCGCTGCGCGCCAGCGTCCTCGCCTACAGGACACCTTGGGGTAAACAGGTGAAAGCCGGGGCAGCCAATCCAAAAGAATAGCCTTTCTGAGTGTCACCGGAGTCTGTGCCTTCCCTGGCTGGAACGCAGACGGAATGCAAAAAGTGTCCTTTCCATTTCCCATCTCGTGCCCCAACCCACAAGTCCAGTAAACCCGCTGACTTTGAGAGCCCAGAGACAGAGGGCAGAAAGTTTGGCCAGAGGAAATACAGAAATTATTCATGGAAAGAAAGGGGAGGGGCTGCAAAGTGAAAGCTACAGAAGGGAAATATTAACCATTCCCTCGATCCCGGAAACTCTCCGGCCGCTCTCCTCTGCATACCTTTAGCATGACCTGAACCTCAGCTCAGTTCTTACATCCTTGGGCTGTGCTTATATACACACAGGGCAAAGGCTGGCGGCTGTGGTTCAGTATATTGCTCCGAGCAAGAATTTCGATATTCTGGAAAATAATCTATCAAAAGCAGAAGTGAAATCAATACGTTGTGTTAAATTTTAAATGTGTTTGTTGGCAGTTAAACCGTTTTCCACTCATTACAACAACAGTGCTGGATTTATTCTAATGCGCTGCCTTCTCAACAACAAGCGCATTAATTCTCCTTTAATTGTAAACTGGGAGCATTTGAAAACCGTTCAGTGTGCAAATTATGCTGATTCAATTACCGTTTAGTTACAGACTTCATTACCTGAATGCCTTTTGGCAATACAGAGAAAGGAGACAATTTTTCCAGTTTCACTCCAAACAATACCAAATGTGAACAATAAAACAGAGAAGGCGATTTACAAGCCCATTCTTTTCTCTCTGACCTAAAGTTGTTTTGTGTGTTGGGGATCAGAATCCACATGCACCGGAAAAACAAAAGGCTGGTGGCTGTGACCCAGGGCAGCATTTCCTGGGATTGTCATCCCAGGGTTATTTACCAGGAGAATACCGAGCTGTTTTCTTGGAGGAGCAGGAAACTGACTTTTACCATGGAAATGGATTTAAAAAGGGGAATTGGGCAGTTCAGGATAGTTTGTTTAAGGCAACTGAATAAGTGAAGAGCCTTGATTAAAGCTTGAGGGCCATGAGATAGACCAAGAAGTGCCCAGAGCTTCTTTCTCCATCTATTTTACTAAACACCAGAAACTGTAACTGAATTTAGCATTTATTGGTAGCCTCACCCTGGAACATCCAGACCTTTGCAAGCAACTGCAATAGACACATGCAGGTTGTCAGGAGCTGATTCAAGTTACGCGCCAAGAAGGCAGGAGTGGCAAATCATTATTTTATTTTGTTTTTCCCCCTTATATTGACATAAGCCAGGGAGGAGCTTAAGGAGTAAATTTTTGTTTTTATGAGTTCACCCCACAAGTTTGGTGATAGGGACACTCTATGCATTGCTTCCTGACTGATAGCACAGTACCGTTTCCTTTAAGCTCCTGCAATCCCTGTTATGTTTCCCAGGGAGTAATCACCACATGATGCCCAGGGAGCAATATTTGTTTAGGTATCCCCTATATAAAAATATTTAGGCTTCTGCCTATGGAGAAATATAGTAAATACTCCCAAATTTGGGAGGAACTTATTATGAAAAACAACTCTTTACCCAGCAGATCAGGGCTCCATATTTAAGCCACAGTTGTCTGCCTGTGTTTGGGTAAATGTTTTCAAGGTATGTTTCTCGGCCCAGGGTTTTTTGAATGTCTGTTCTAAGTTGAAAATTGTGAGTCTTTTTGTGCTTATTGAGAGATGGGTCTGTCCTATTTCAAACTAGCAGCTTATTTTAGTACTGCAGTGGGAAGTCAATTAGAAATGGGTCTGCAGAGTTACCCTCTAAAGCATATTAAAATACTAAAAAATTACCACAAGGCTAACTCCAATCATAAATGTAGGGAAGTGATTTTTTTTTAAAAAAAGGGAAGGAAATCTTCTGTTTATTGAATGCTGTGTATTGCAGATTTTAGAGTCTGGATTCAGCAGGAGAGACACCTATGGCATAAAAATACTTGTTAAAAATAAAAAGTCCTGCAATTTTTATTCTCCTGTCAGTTCTGGACTAATTCCAGAATATTTTCTGTATGAGTTAATGGGGGTAACAGGACTGTAGCATTTTAACTGAATTGAAACACACACTGGGTGAAGTAGGGAAATGTGGCTTCTGGCTCTGAGGACTGGGCATCCTAAATTGAGTTATTTTCAGTGGGTCAAGCTGAAGGACAGGCCAGGGCACACAGGGAGGGCATCTCCCAGCAGATAGCAGAGGAGTCCTGTTGGGAGGCTCACCTGTGACAATTTTCAGAGTCAAGCATTGATTCTAATGAGTGCTCTCTGGGCCCTTCAACAACAAAGTTGCTCAGAGATTGAGTCCAGAGAAACTGACAAGGGGTTGAACTATGTTATTGTGATCAGTCATATCCACAGTACTATTCTAATGAGAAGAGACGCTCACCCTCCAATTTAGGTGCCACTAACTAGTTCTGATAGGAATTAAAATGGATAATAATCTGATTGTTGTTTTTAACCAATATGGACAAAAAAATGGAACTTCTTTCTAAAAATGGATCTTCTTTCTAATGCTTAAAAAACATTTTGAATCATCTATTCCCTCCAATTAGGGTGTCCTTAAGATATGAATTCCACACCAATTCTTTAACAGAGATTAAAGAGTGACTGGTATATTTGTGGAATCCTACCTCTGCACAGGTTGAAGCCAGACCCTTTGGGTGAATTCACTCGTTAGGAAGGTGGCTGTTAAGAAATGTGGAAGCCGAGGGGAAAGCAGCAGGAGAGAGACCATTAATGTTTATCCTTTGGACTAGGTATATGTATTTCCCATCCTTTGAAAATTAAGCCAGCTGCCCACTTAAAACTTTAATCAATTTGAGCTTATACCTGAAAACAACAACAACATGTTAACTAACTATGGCTATTTAGTGTTCTCTATTAAGGCCAGTTCTTGGGAACAGTACTAAAATTCCCTACTCCATTGCATTTCCTGACTCTTCCACCTGGTATCAGTCTTGCGGCTATAGGATTAAACCTAGATTTTGGAAGGAGCCTCTGCCCCCAGCAGCACAGCATGAGAATTCACCAGTTGAGGGTTCTGTGGGAGAAGTTGCATTTTCCTGAAATGCTCAACTCTCCACTGACCAGGAAAGCAGCTCTCTGGGTGTGTGGGAAACCCCTGGGGGGGGGGGGTATCCTTCTTCCTCACTTCCAGGAGGATTATCATGGTCTGGGGCCTTCTAGTGATAGCTTTGGGGAAACTGCCTTCAGTATCAGAAGGGTCGAACCAGAATTGCTGCAACTCCCTCAGCCCATATTTTCCGGGAAAGCCATTAAGTTCGTGGCTCTTCTTTGTGCGAAGTTGATTTCTATTTGGCTTTGAATTGTCGACGGCTATTTCCTCTTTAATGAAAGTGTTGTCTGGGTGCAAAATATATCAGGTGGCAGGGAAATTGGTTTCTTTTTTTTTTGAGGTAGGTGCCCAATGTCCTACTTTTCTATCTGCAGGAAGATTTTCTGCAGACTACAGAAATTGACAGCATTGTCCAGGTAATAACCGTCGCCCACAATATTTTCAAAAGGACGTTTGACTGATGAAAGCATTTGGATATTGCCTTTTCAAATAAGCAATTTTCTGTCTTGGGGTTCTTTGATTTTATAGGGGGTGGGGAGAAGGGGCCACACATTGGCAAGGAGATGGCTTCCCCA